AGATATATATCTTATATCGCCATCCAGCTAAAAAATATCGAGATATAAATTTTGGGTCATATCGCCCAGCCCTACATCATTCTGTTATCATTCCCTTTGGCTAACCTAAACTAATGGAATAGTTTAACACTGAGAAGCTCAGTTTGAGGACTGTTTCATGTAAAAAGCTGTGTAACCAATCACACTCATCCATCATGAACCTTTAAATGCTGCCTAACTGTGTGCATCATTAACATGTTACACCTCAAACACACAACAAAGAATAAAACAGAGGAATGATTAAACTAATCTGTTGCTAAACATGATATGAAAACACATCATTACAGAAAGTGTTCTCAGGTTATTAAAGTTTGACAAATAACATCCGAAGAATTTCACCTGAGAAGTGTAGAGCGTTGTACTAGTTACAAGTCATAGTTACTAGTTACTTCTTCAAATAAGTAACTGAGTTAGTAACTGAGTTACAAGATTCTAAAAGTAATTAATTACTTGAAAAATAACTATTGCGTTACTTTAAAAAAATGTTTAGCCCTCTGGGGTCCAGGGTATAATTGATTTCCCCAGTTCACCTTTAAAAAAGTGGTCGTCGGGCAGAAAGTGATCCCCGCCCGCGGGAGCGCGCAGCTGCTTAAAGCTGCAGCGCCCAGATTACTTACAGCTACTTCTGCAGCTGATGTAAGGTGCAGTCAGCTGAACACAGCTTCAGTCGTCTGTTTGTTGAAAAATAACGGTAACAGCGCTGTAACGATAGAAATAGTAATTACTTAGATTACTCTTACTGAAAAAAGTACAAACGGTGGCGACGACCACATACATGAACAGGAGCGCCGCGGTCATCGTCCACGCTCACAGTGCTGGTGAATGTTTGAGCCGTGCAGCCACTGCTTCTTGTTTTGGCAGATAAATAATAAACTTATGAAAATATTGAATGACGATCAGTGGCAGCAGATTTAGGAAATGTGTGACTGTGACATCGAGGCCTGTGGAAGATATCGATCAGGCGTGTGACCTTTTCATGGGTGGGTTGCTGTTTTTAAGAGTTTTACAAACTGTTGTGCGTCAGCATCGCTGGTGTTGTCAGTGCCAGTATTGACATGACCATGGGATAATATTA